GCTGGTGTCTGCTCATTTGTGCATGAGTGTGTGTGTGTGTGTGTGTGTGTATTTTGAAGACGTGCCAGTGTTTCACAGGTTATCATCCTAGAAATAGCTTAGGGAAAATGTATAAATGTATTTTTTAATTAACAGATAATGTCAAATTTCCAACCCTCCTCTGTGCCAGCTCACACTCAAATGGAGAGTGAGCGCCTGTTCCCCACACCCCTCCATCATTGACTCCATTATGGGTTTTCATCCTTGCCCATCTCGTAGGTGAAAGGTCACCATGGAGATGCCCTGTGAGAGGGGATGGAGTGTGGGGGGCCCTTAGGCTGCAAGGTCATCCCAACCCCCTTCTTCAGCTCCCTTCACCAGCCGGCCACCGAGCCAGAACCCAGCTGTCTTCCCTCGCATCCACCCCACTCACCCTGGGGGAGAACATTCGGGCAGACCCTGGGAGCCGCCCAGTCTCTTCTTCCATCCATGCTTCTGACCGTGGTCCTGTGCAGCCCCTCCCGTGGGTCCAGTGCATTTGCTGGCAGAGGCCACACTCTCACCCTTGCTGGCTCCTTCCGTTCAGCCCACCCTACCAGGCAGTGTCCCTTGCTGTGCTGGAGGCAGCCCGTGCTGGCTTGTGAGAGCCTATGGTGTTTCCAGGGACTTCACAAGCCAGGTGTTAGACTCAGCCATGGCTATAAGTTAACTTATGTGAACTTGGGATTAAATAATTTATATTAAAAAGGTAATACCCCGGCCGGTGTGCTCAGTGGGTTGGGCATGGATTGTCCTGTGCACTGAAAGGTCACCGGTTCCATTCCCAGTGAGGCAGAAGCCCAGGTTGCGTGTTTGATCCCTGGTAGGGCTGTGTGTGGGTCACAAGTGATCAATGTCTCTCTCTCTCATCTCTCTCTCTCCTTCTCTCCCCATTCCTCTTTTTAAAATAAGTAAAAACATTTTTAAACAAACAAAGGTAATAAATACTCCAAACTTGCCCCTTATAATTGTGTTCTTGTTACAAGGGGCACATTGGGTTACTCATACCTATTGTACCTGCGTGGAGGTGATATTATAGAACAGGCGGCACCGCACATCTAGTCCCATCTTGGTGCGTAGGGACTCCAGGTTGGCAGCTTGAAATCAGCTGTAGTGAAAATATTTACACCGAGGAAATTGGCAAATGTTACCAAATCAGGGCTTGATTTGTTTTCTTCAGTGTCTACTCTCCCTAGACTTGAGAAAGTGATGAAGGAAATGTTCATAGTAAAGATTAAAACTAAAACTGTGTTTGGTGAATATTATGGTATGTAAATTGTATCTTTTTCTTTTAAGTCTGTAGGCATTACAATGCAAATACATTACAAGAATTAAGGAACTGCCCTAGCCGGTTTGGCTCAGTGGATAGAGCGTCGGCCTGCAGACCAAAGGGTCCTGGGTTTGATTCTGGTCAAGTGCACGTACCTTGGCTGCAGGCTCCTCTAGCCTGGGCCCTATAATTGAGGTCCTATGGGTGGACCTAATCCAACAGGACTGGGTCCTTATTAGGAGAGGAAAAGACACCAGGGGCCCATGCACCGAGGAGAGGCCGCGTGAGGACGCAGCGAGAAGGCGGTGGTCTGTGATCCAAGGAGGAGCCGATTCTGCCAACGGCTTAACGTAGACTTCCAGCGCCAGTGAGAAAACCAGTTTCTGTTATCGAAGCAGCCATCTGTGGTGTTCTGTTATGGCAGCCCGAGCAGACTAACACCCCCTTTCTTTGAGCCTGCACGTCCTCATCCATAATCTCTCCCTCAAGGGGCTGTGTGCAGATTCAGTGAAATAATGCAGGCGAATTGCTGACAGCACCAGGCCCACCGAGGGCTCCCCATGCGCCACGGCCCTGTCCCGTGGCCCTGGATCAGGCCCCCATACCTGAGGCTGTCCCCTCACACCTCCCTTAGGGCAGAGGCCCATACCTGAGGCTGTCCCCTCACACCCCCCGAGATGACAGGGGGTCCAGGTGGCCCCACCTCTCATCTGGCCTCTCCTGATGATGGGTGGGCCTCAGCATTGGCCTCAGGATGGTGGGCCTGGCGCACACCCAGGCATGCCCTGTACACACACACACACACACACACACACACACACACACACACCCTGTTCTGCCAGTGGCCCCTCAGTCCTGCTCACTGGCTGGCTCTGCTCCCTAACTTGGGAGCTTAATCCCCCCAGGGCTGGGCTTGTGCCCAATCCACCCTCTGAATTCTGCCCCACACCAAGCTGAGGCCCCACCTGGGCAAGAGGGTGTTTGGATCACGGGCCCCCGTGACCTTCTCCGCCAGTCTCAGGTCTTGCTGGAGGCAGGACCTCACCTTACAGCTGGGGTCACAAGTTTGGGAAGGCAGCTCAGCTCAGGGCTGCGGGGCAACTGGAAGCTCAGGAAGCGGGGAGGGTCTGAAAGGGGGAGGGGGCAACCTGGGGCCCTGGCTGGCTGCCCTCAGCTCTGGGTTTGCGTTTCCTCATGTCTGCTACACCGAACCCCAGCCTGGGAAGTCCTCCAGGGCTGGCTGCTGGCCGGAGCACGCCCACAGCTCACACGGGGCTGGCCCGGAGCCAGAGGCCTACAGGTGTCTGACTGGCTGGGGGAGCTGGTTGGTGGCCAGGAGTTTAATTCAGGTGGGTCCAGCTGACCCCCTTGGGGCACCCTGCTCATTGCTATCCACATGAGCTCTGTTTTGTTCTCTGCTGTTTCTCAGGGCCTGACAGAGCAGGCACTCTACAAATACATATTTTTAATAAATGCGGAGGGAGGACACCCACGAATGGTCCAAACCTGGTGGAGAAAGCAGACGAATCAACAGACAACTGCACTCTGATGGGATCTCTCTTGTGAGAGAGATGAGCCCAGGGGGCTGTGGGAACATGGACAAGGTCTATCTGGCCAGTCTAAGAAATCAGAGAAGCCTTCCTGGAGGAGGTGGGCTTTGAAGACTGAATAGGAGTTTAACCGGGCAAAGACTTTAGGGAATGGGATTTCTGGGATAGGTAGCAGAAGCAGGAAGGTAAGAGACCGTTTGGAAAGCAATCCAGAGTTGGGAATGATGGGAACCAAGGATGGTGAGGAGCCAGGAGACGACCGGGCTGAGGGGAACACAGAGGCCAGAGCTCTGAGGGCTGAGGCTACATGGCAAATTCTCAGAAGATAGGGCCCTCGGCGGAAAGGAGGGAGTCTTCTGAACCCCTCTCGGGGAGGGAGTTAGGCTATTAATGGGCTGCCTGGCTGGCTGAGCAGAACCCAGCCCCTTGAGAAAAGGAGATACCATTTTCAAAAGGGCTTTTATTAAACTGTCCCCTCTTGCCACAATGGCCACAGCCCTGGTGTCCGCCAGGGGAAGGGCCCTGTCAGTGTTCCTGTGTGGCCGTGGCTGGGCTCGTCCCTGGAGCAGACGCCCTTGTTTGCGGTCCCGGTGCCCGTCTGGCTGCTTCTGGAGGCTCTCAGAAGCTGCAGGAGAGACTGTGGGTGCTGCTGGCTGAGGGCAGGCTCTGGTGCAGGCAGGGGGGCCTGTCTCTTCAGCGCACACCCTGAGAGGTACTCTTAAGATCCTGGGCCTCCAATATGCCCCGGAGGGAATACTTCAGATTGGAGGATGGCGCGGAAAGGCAGGGCCTGTGTGTGAACAGGCCCCGTCTTGAGCTTTTTGCTGCAGCTGGCTGGAGAGCCCCTGCTCTCTCTGGGTTTCCCTTTCTAACAGGTAACCTGGCCTCCCAGTGCTGACTCTGCCTCAGGAAGCATGCTTGGCCACTGCTGCTTGTCATTTTCACAGCTGTCCCGCCGCGCTGGCCTCGGCATGCTCAGTGGGTTGCAAGCATGTGTGACAGACAGGCATCCATGTTGGGTGTGTGTGTGTGGTCAGATGTGGGCTCCTGCATGTATGAGGAGGTCCAGCTGAGTGTGCGCATGGGGCGTGAGCGGTGTGACCCCAGTCTGCCCGCTTCTCCGCCCAGCCAGTCTCAGGAAACACTGCCACCGAGGGGGCTGCCGTGGCCCGGGCCTCACAGGAAGTTGGGCTCCCGCACCACGAGGCAGGGCGGGTCCCCGCTGCCCCCGCTGTCCAGGGGCCGGTACACGAAGTGGAAGTCGCGCTTGGGCTCGCTCCGCAGCAGGTAGCCCTTGATGTGGTGCGGCAGCGCCTCGTCCGCCAGCTGGAAGCAGCGCCCGTCCACCAGCACGAAGAGCCGGTGGTCCTGCGGCTGCACCACCTCCCAC